TTAAGGATATCTAGAAGAACTCTAAGATATACCTCCTTGACCAATTTATAATTCGGGGTTAAAACGTACGTACGGGATCCAGACCGGATATCACCCACCCGACAGATCACTGTTCGGTTGGTACGTAATCCACGTGACTCATAGGGTGGATTATCGATTCTTGTGTTCTGCATTAAACTATTTATAGTTTAAGGGCCTGGTTAGAAATATTGCCTTAGACTAGGAATAGCTAAGAGCTTGTATAAAAATGATTTGGCCTTAGATTAAGAATAATTTAAGAGCACTGATGAAATATTTTGAATATTGAATATATCATGAAATGACTTAAAATAAAATATTATGAATATTATGAATAATGTAAGCTTGAAATATGTATTGTGTGCATGATATCAAATGGTTAATTATGAATTGAGATTCAATTTATATGGATGTTCGATGCATTAGATATGCTTACTCAGCTTCAACGCTGAGCGTGTAGTATGTTTTATTTGCTACACGCAGGTAAACAAAAAGAATGATGTGATGGAATCCTGGCGGCAGACGGAGCGAGATGGTCAAAGTGGATGTGTAAAATGAATTAAAATTTAAAAAGACATAATATTATTATGTTTTGTAATTGTTATTTATTCAGCTTCCGCAACATTAACTACTCTGTTATTATTCTGAATACTTTATTATGAAATAAAGTTTTAAAATGCTTGAAACCTTTTGAATGTTTACAAATACCAAGTTTATACTTTAGTTCGAAAGGGGCTGCAGACCTGGACGGATTGAGGTGTTACAACGTCGATGTAACGTGATTGAATAAGTGAAGTAAAGTGATGCTAACAAAACAAATCGATTGATTCGTTTGACGTAAAAGATCGCGACGTGGTGACAATACAGAACGAGACGTAAAACAGTAACACCAACAGTGAAAGACTGAAGAATGAAGAAAATGTAGTTGCACTGACCATACAGCTTAGAATAATATTTATGACTAACTCGTAATGTTCAAGGACGATATTATTTCAACATGAATGGAACTTAGATTACATGAGGAAAGTTATAGATGCAATTCTAAGTCTAATCTCTCAGGATTTGCAAACTCGTCGTAACCGGCTACAGGACCCGGGAAAGCTTTAAAAAACACTAGTTTGTCTAAAAGCTCATCAACAAAGAAAGAAGAAATAAAAAGTTTCCTCTGACTAGAAGCCATGAAGTTCTGTCTCACCGCATCGTCTAAGAATTTGAGAAGGTTATTGAAATAATCGTCAATGTTTAAAAGACCAATGGGTCTATTGTGTAACCCTTCAGAAGCCCACGAGATCAAGGTAAACAAACCTTCCATAGTGTCAACTCCTCCGGGAAGAACAATGAAAGCTTCCACGGCATGATTCATCTCAAAATATTTGTAGTAATTACTGGAAACTGTGTGCTCTACGCCGTATGTAGGTCCGTAGACCCGTCGTGTTGCTATGTACCCAGGAATGAAACCTCTAACGAGACCACCATTGGTAAAGACTGATGAAGCAACAGCTCCTTGAAGGCCAACACTACCTCCTCCATAGGCAAGTTTAATTTTTCGTCTTAACAATTCCCTTCCTAAATCTACCGCCGTAGCCATAAACTTTGGATTTCTACCAAGAGAATGACTACCAAGTAGACCAACAAATCTTATGGTGTAAGGAAGTGTTCGAGAAGTTCCTTCCATATTGTGAGAATGTGAGATACTCTTTCCATAATCGTGATATATATAGTCTCTAAAACCGGACCATTGATGGAAAAGTAATTATCACCAGCCAAAATACGTACAGTAAAATGGATTCAAATTACCTGCAGACGAGAACGTACTCGCTAATACTAGTCTGCTGACGATATGACGTATTGAGACTCTTGAACAGTTAGATTCGCTGTCCTAAAACACGTTCAAATCCGAGATGAAAAGTCAAAATGACTATTTCCTAAGACAACGACCCCTTGAGTAATTGCCAAAGAGTGAAACATTGAAGGATGAAAACCTACGATTAGTAACGATAATTCGCAAACGTTATTTCTGTATTTTGTGACTCATATCCTTGAATTACTCAAAATTGTTGTGTTAAACTACACCCTTGAAAAAAAATCCCACTTGATCAATGATTGAATTCCATTGTTGTATCAAAATATTAAACCCTTGGGAACTTGTCTTAATTCATCAAGATACGTTATACCGATCTTTGAAAGCTACACTCTGTGAACTACGGTAAAAGCATTCTGATTGGAATATTATGTTGAGTCTCTCTTTGTGAACCACAAAATGGTTGATGCGATTACGTTATCTCTGAAGATTATTATCAATGATCTCATTTGACCAAACAAACTCCGTTATGACCCTACTAAGGGAATGTATGTGCAACAACCAGAGAAGAAATTACGTCACAAGGATCAAGCTGAATCATTCAAGCAAAAATTCCGAACCTATATGCGATATTGGTATAACAACTTGTAAGATTCCTTAAATTCGTGAATTGAATCACATACTGAAGATATTTTCTTCTTCCCTCGAAACGAGATTAACCATAGTGCTAAAAACGAACATGTCATTATCATATCTTGATCAAAGTAAGGAAGTCGAATATGATTAAACAAATACGAGACGAAGCTTGAAAGTGAATTGTTACGAAGGCTCATTAATGGTAATGAGAACTATCACGAAGGTGAACAAAGGAATGTTTCAAATACGAGATCAATAATGACTGTACAACGAGTAGTACCTCCTCATAATGTTTGATAAATCCCATATCTTTAAAATCTTGGACCACGAAAAGCCATTTGATGTTACTTACAAATCATTCTGAACTATATGAATAATGTGAAGATGTCTTGAATGACTTGGATGATTTCGCTAAAACGTATGGATTGAAACAACCTCGGAATCTCCCACTACATCTATTGTGATTCAAAACTACAAATGCTGCTAAGGGACTTTCAATCAAAGAAAGAATGTTGTTGACTAATGACATACAATCGAGATTTGTGAATGAACGAAATGATGTACAAATATGACAAGTATGCTCCAAAATACGATGTTATACCTTGCAAAGGAACTTAGGTTATGGTTGTTGAATCTGAGCGGGAACCTACAAAATGGATTGTTGGATGCCTTGCCTATTAATCTCTTGAAGAAAGAACGAGTTTGATAACATCGACAGTTTGAGAATACGTATCCGTTTGGATAATGACGTAATTATGGTTTAACCAAATGAACATGACACGGTCATGATAAAGTTAGATCACTACGAAATGTTAAACGTTGACCCTTAGAAGAATTTCGAGGACGAAATTCCTTTAAGGGGGGGGGGGGAGAAATGTAACGCCCCAAAACATACCCTAAAATTTTTAATGAATAAATATTCAATTAGTCAAATTTGTTTTGATTAAAATAAATAGTTATTGGGCTTTGGGCCGAAATGAAATGTGTTTTGACATCCAATATCACAAATCAGGATAAGTCTCATAATGATAAATCCAATATGTTGTCTAATTAGGTAATCTTGGTTGGGAACTTGAGTACAGACCCAAATTAAGAATAAATGAAGAAAATTGTTTATGATGTAAACTTTGAAATGATTTATTGAAATAAATCATAAGAATAAATAATATGAATGGAATGCAAGAACCTTTTTGAGTAATGGTCAATTAAACCAATTTTGACTTTGTCAAAGTCAACCACCCAAAAATATGATGTCGGAAAAAGTATTACAAATAATTATGAAAAGTATATCGTTGGATAAAGCTCGACTGTCTGATCGTAACGGTGCAAACAGATTTCAATTTGGAGAAAGTTGGACCAAAAAGTGTACCCCGACTGGAACCAAAATAGGTCCCAATCAGGGAACTGTTTAGACGGCGCCTCCTCCCCCACTACGCCGATCGCAGAATTGTGGAGTCACCATAGCTGTTTTCTTCTTCTCTCCTTCTCATTATATAAGAGAACCCAACCTTCTCATTTCTTCACCATTCTTCTTCATTCTTCTTCCTAAGTGTTCGTGAAAGTGTGAGGAGTGTTGTGGTGCTGTCAATTTGGTGTGAAGTCGCTGGAGTTGGGAGAAATACTCGTAGGAAGTTTCGCCGAAAAATTTTCAAAACCTTTGTTTGGCTTCGAGGTAAGCCCGTAGATATATCTAATGACTAGAATGTTCATATAGGTCGTTTCTACGTTCATAAATGGTCATTTGGTTGAGTTTTGTGTTTGACATGCTTGAAGAACTAAGAATCATAAACCATGAAATTGATGTTAAAATTATGAATTAATGATGCTAAAATGATCCATGAACCTTGGAGAATATTTTTATATACTTTAATTGAAGTTGGGTGAGTAAAAGTGACATTTCCACAAGTTGGCTCGAGGTAGAAGACGATGGATAATCGATTATCAACTTGAAAATCGATTATTCATCGTTTTGCAGATTTTTTGAACAAAGCTGAGCAACAGTCGATTATCAGAATGTGATAATCGACTCTCAGCCCTCTCTAAAGTTTGATAATCGATTATCAGAGTGTGATAATCGATTATTAGCCCATTCTGAATATCAGACAGTAGATTATCAGAAGTGACAGTAGACTGTTTCCCTACAAAATGAAGCTAATAGTTAATAATTGAATTTCCTATCATATATTAATCAATTATTGTTTAGAAAACATGATTTTTGAACTATGAAATTCTATTTTTGATACCAATTAATTATGCACAATATAAATATGATTTTGTATAATAAAAATGATGTTTTTGGCATATAAAATACTATGTGATGGATGACGGTAAGTTCGGGTGTTAACACTCGAGACTAGGCTGCTGTTTGTTATCAAATGTTATGTTGATTGATGATTATGATGAATGATTATTATGATGATTATGACTTGATGTAACTACTGATTAAAATGATTATTGAAGATTAAATTATGAATTGAAAGGAATATGTTGATGATTATGAAATGATTTGAATTCTAAGGATATCTAGAAGAACTCTAAGATATACCTAGGTTGACGTTGATTTCTAAGACTATCTAGAAGACCTCTAAGATGACTTAGAAATAGGCCTTGCGGGTATAATTATGAATATTCGGTGGCCTGGGTTAAAACGTACGCACGGGATCCATAACCAAACTAGAGGAACTCGTTTGGGGATGCCACCCAACCCGACAGTTAGTATCCTACTGTTTGGTTTTCTGGATTTGTACCTTAAGCAAAGGCTAGTTTAAGAGTTGGTAAATCAATCGGAATATATGTACCTTAAACTAATGACCTAGCTTAAGAGTTGGATAGAGGTACCTTAAACTAGAACTAGTTTAAGAGTTGGTAAACATCAAATAAATTGGCCTTAGACTAAGAATAGTTTAAGGATAGTATTGAATGAGGATGTTGAATGTTGAATATGAATTAACTTACTGCTTACAACTTATAACTAATAACATATAAACTTGACTTATGAGACACGTACTATAGTTTACTAAACTAATACTTAAACCTAAGTTAAATATACCTACAAGCTGCGTAATCTATACGAATGAGTCGAAGTGGCGACTCGCACATCATACAAAATAAAGCTACACGCAGGTTAATAGAAAGAATGATGTGACATGATTCTGGAGGCAGACGGAGGCGAGATTGTCGGAATGGATGTGATGGTTTTGAATTAAAGAACATAAATAAATTATGTTTGTAATTATGATTTGTTAAGCTTCCGCAATATTGAAAAATCCGCACTGTATATGTTATGAAAAATATTATCGTGATAAATAAAAGTGTTTGAAAAGTTTTAAATTTTACGGTTACCAAGTTAATACTTTAGTCCGAAAGGGGCTGCAGACCTGGACGGATTAGGGTGTTACAAATGTCCAGGGCACCTCATGCTTGACTAGTCTTCTGGACCGGCTTATGTCTAGGTTGAACTGCAACAGACGTCCAGGTCATCTCATGTCCTAGTGTAGTGGGCTAGGTTGAAAGTTTTGAAGAGCATTTTGGATGCAAGGCTTGAAAACTTCCGGGTCATCTCATGTCTTGGTCTCCAGTCTTGAAAATGTCCATGTCACTTTGTTTCTGGCTTGTCTTCTGATCCGGTTAACTTCCGGGTTGAAAAGTAACAAACGTCGTTGAGTTCGTCCTGATCTAATTCCAATGGCTTGGTTGCGCTATCGTCACCAGCATGACGTCAAATTTCTGTCCAGGTGTCGGGTCAAAAATGTGACCGGTCAAAATCGAAGTTCTCCAGATTGGTCTGATTTCCTCAAATCCAACCTCTAAAAATTGATCGGTCACGTTTCTCACATATGACCGGTCAAGTTTTAATTTTTTCCATTCGCTTTTCCTTGCCAATCCCGAACACTAAAAAGTGACCGGTCACTTTTGACCATACCACTTTCCTTATACCTCTCTAGCCTGGATGCCATGCTTAACAGCAACCTTGATCAAACTTCAAACGAATATTCCGAAATGGTTTTCGTCTTAAGTCTCAACATCAAGACCTGATCTTTCTTCGGAGATTTTGACCATGTCCTATGGCCGCGAACCCTCTCCAAGGTTCAGCCCTCTTCCAGGCAACACCCTTCTTCCAGGGCCCCTCTTCCAGGTTTTAAGTCTTTTAATGTGTCATTCTCTAATCATTAAGTTGACCTAGCCAACCCAATCTTCCCACGTGGGGGTATGCCGGTGAGAACCAGCCCTCATCCAATCCTACATGTCCATATGTTATGCGTTTGAAGTGAATTCTAGTCTTCCCTAGACCCTTCAATCCGCAAAGGATGGCTCATGCACGACGGTAAACAATTTTTATTTTGGCATCTTTTTGCCCCTATCCAAACGAAAATTTGGTAGGGATCCATGTAAGTATGGACGCGAGTCCTCTTCCAGACCCAGCCTATCTCAAAGCCATACCTCAACATCAAGGCCCCTATCTCAAGGGTTTATCTTTTTTTTTGACCTTGCCTCTTACATCAAGACATGTTATTTTAGTATTACTGACTTAGCAACACAAGTATTGAGGAAAGCCTTATTTATCATCGAAGGGGTATTACAAATACATGTCCTGCCAATTTGGCCTATCGGTAGAATTTTCTAAGGTGGTGGGAATTCCAGCACCTTTCCAACTCTCGACCTTCCATTGTTTCTAACTTGTATGTCCCGGGGCGTAGTATTGCCGTGACCCTATATGGACCTTCCCATTTCTTTGCGAGCTTTCCTCCATCTCCTGGTTTGTTGGCCTCCCTTCGTCTTAGGACCTCATCACCCATTTGGAAGTAACAAGGCCCTACCTTGTTATCATGGTAGGCCTTGGCTGCTTGCTGGTATTCAATCATCTTGGCCTCGGTGACCATTCGCCTTTCCTCCAGTAAGTTCAACTCTGCCAAATGGTCCTCCTCATTCCCTTTCTCTCCGTAGATCTTTTCCCGGAAGGTCATAATTTTTGCTTCGATTGGCAGTCTGGCCTCACACCCGTATGTAAGGACGAAAGGTGTCTCCCCGGTAGCCCTTCTTGAAGTGACCCGGTAGGCCCAGATGATATGTGGCAATTCTTCCAACAAATTTGTTCCGGCCTCACCCAACCGCTTCTTGATGCCATCGACTATTGTGCGGTTCGCATTTTCCACCTGACCATTCCCTTGCGGGTAGGCCACGGAAGCCTTGTTATGAGTAATCCCAAAGTCCTCCAAGTATTTGGTGAACACAGGATTTCGAAATTGAGGCCCGTTATCCGTCACAATGTTTCATGGAGACCCGAACTGAGTGATGACGTTCTTCCAAACGAAGCGCTGGCATTGCTTGGTTGTAATGGTTGCATATGCCTCGGCCTCTACCCACTTTGTGAAGTAGTCGATAGCAACCATTACATACTTCTTTCTCTCTTGCGCTTGAGGGAAGGCTCCAATGATGTCCATCCCAAACCTTGCAAATGGAGTAACATTGGAAACTGGGTGGTAGTATGTTGCAGGCCTTCCCGGAAACTTGTAGAACACCTGGCAGGTCTTGCACCTCTGGACATATCTCTTGCAATCTTGGTTCATTGTAGGCCAAAAATAACCTAGCAAAATGATCCTTTGGGCGAGTGTCCCGGACATTTGGTGGGCTGCGTAGACACCCTCATGAACTTCAGTGATCACTCTTTCCGCCTCTGCCCTGGTCAAGCACCTTAGCAATGGACCACCGAATGCTCGTTTGTATAGCCTCCCATCAAGCATTTGGAATCTTGGAGCCCTCAACTTTACTTTTCTTACCCTATCCTCATCCTCAGGGAATTGCCCGGTCATATAGTACCTGACCAAGTCATCCATCCAAATATCATCTGGCTCCACCCGATCTGGATTGGGCTGCCCATCTTCCTCTATCATGCTAATAGAAAACCCATCAATGCTGGCTTTCTCCAGCGTCTCAATCCTGGCCAGCTTGGACACATGCTCCGGGGCTGCTTGTGTCAATTTTAATAGCAAGTCTACATCGGTGTTCTCCCCCCTAGGGATTTGCTCCATCACATACTCAGTCGGGTTCTTCAGTAGTGCCCTTGCCAAATCTCTATACCTCTGCATTTTTTCTCCTTTGGCCTCCATGTTGCCATTGATGTGGCCTACCACCAAGCTTGAATCAGACTTAATCTTGAGGCAGTTGATTTGTAGGGTTTTGGCCAATCTCAGACCCCCTATCAGCGCCTCATACTCCGCCTCATTATTTGTGAGTTTGAAGTTAAAGATCAAGGCATGATATACCTTCAACCCTTCCGGAGTTGTGAATACTACATCTCCCCCGTAACCTTTGGGCCCGGAAGCTCCATCAACTGACATGGACCACCAAGGCTCGGTGATGGCCTTGGCCGGTTCTTCTTCCTGGTGACCCGTCATCTCCACAAGAAAATCAGCCACAGCCTGCCCTTTTATCACCGTCCTCGGACGATATTCAATGTTGAACTGGGTTAGCATCATGGCCCATTTGATCATCCTTCCAGATGAAGTGGAGTCCCTCATGACCGTGCCCAATGGTAGGTCGGTCAATGCGACAATGGGATGGGCCTGGAAGTAGGAGGTGAGTTTCTTCGCCATTATGAAAAGTGCGTACCCTGCCTTCTCTGTAGGAGTGTACCTACTTTCCGCTCCATTCAAAGCCTTGCTCACATAATATATAGGCCTCTGGACTCCATCATCCCTCATCAAGACCGAGCTAACGGCCATTTGGGTCACCCTCAGGTAGAGGTATAGGGTCTCCTTCGTTTCTGGCTTGGATAGGACAATGTCCGAAGTCAGGTATGTCTTTAGCTCTTCGAATGCCCTGGCACATTCATCATCCCACTTGAAGGTATTGGCTTTCTTTAAAACCTTAAAGAAAGGCAAAGCCTCCTCTGCCGACCTGGATAAGAACCGGTTTAGGGCCGCCAAGCGTCCCGTTAACCTTTGGACATCCCTTACCGAAGTTAGGGGTTGCATCTCAACAATGGCCTTGATCTTCTCAGGATTCGGCTCAATCCCCCTCTTTGTCACCATGAAGCCCAAGAACTTCCCCGTCCTCACAGCAAAAACACACTTCTTTGGATTAAGTCTAAGGGGCTGTTTGTTTCAGCCTCTTAATGGTTCAGATGTCTGAATGGTTCAGCACTTAATGGTTCAGACTGTTTGTTTCAGCCTCTTAATGGTTCAGATGTCTGAATGGTTAAGAGATTTGCCTCTGAATGGTTAAGTATTATACAGAGTCTGAATGGTTAAGACCTCTTATCTGAATTGATCAGACATTTGTCTCTGAATAGTTAAGCAATATACTAGCTCTTAATGGTTCAGACCTTGTTAGAATAAGTGCCCTTCACTAGAGGGGGGGTGAATAGTGAGGCACGAGAATGTTTATAAATTTTCGCGGAATAAAAATCGCAGGGATAAAGTAAAGAGCGGAATAAAAAGGAGTAAAGGGAGCACACCAAGATTTACCCTGGTTCACCACAACTTGTGGCTAATCCAGCCTCCCGAGAGACTCTCTCGAGCTAC